CAGCTCAGCGCTTGGCAATAGTACGGTAGATTATTTCATTACAGATCTAGATCCAATGTCTTTCACAGTCAGCCCCCTCACACCCCTCTCAGACCACAGCAAAATCTCTATCTATCTGAAAAGGGCTCAGTCTAAGTCTGGGGCCCCTAGTGCCTGTGAACTGTTTAACAGCACATACCCATACAGATGGAGCCCAGACAGCATGGGGGTGTACCTAAAGGCACTGGAAAATCAAAACATACATGATTTAACTCATTTATTTCTAACTGAAACATTTCCCCAGAATAATTCTGGTGTAAATTCTGCTGTGGACAAAATCAATTCAATATTTCATCATTTGGCTTCATTGTCTAATTTGAAAGCCTCCAAACAAAAACCTCAACAAATGAACAATAACAAATGGTTTGACACTGAATGCAAAGACCTAAGGAAAACTTTAAGGAAAGTCCCTGAAATTGTTGGGCTTCTGTAAATAACATCATAGAGTTCGGTCTAGACCTGCTCTTTTATGAAAAGCGCTGTGAGAGAACTGTTGTTGCGATTTGGCGCTATATAAATAAAATTGAATTGAATTGAATTATCAAATGAAAAGCACAGGGACCCAGATAACCACAACATACGCTGTCAATATGAGGCCACTCTGAAACAATACAAGTACACCCTAAAAACTAAGAAAGGACACAGCAAGAAGCAGCTCTGTGAAACTGAGGAATCCATTGAGTCCAACCAGTTCTGGGAGAAATGGAACAACCTAAACAAAACCCAGCAGGATGAACTGGCGATCCAAGATGGAAATACTTGATTAATCACTTTAGTGAATTATACAGTAATATTACAAAAAATGATGATCAGTACAAGATATTCACGAAATGGAAAACTCTGGAGGCAGTGATAAAAAAAACAACCAGAACCCTCTAGATTACCCAGTAACAGAACAAGAATTAACAGAAGTCATCCAGTCCCTGAAAGGAAAAAAGCCTTGTGGTATTGATGGAATCCTCAACGAAATGATCAAATACTCAGACCATAAAATCAAATATACTAAAACTATTCAATACTATTCTAGCAACTGGAACTTTTCCAGACATCTGGAACAAAGGTTTAATAACCCCAATTCATAAATCCTCTCTGCAGTAACAAGTCCCCAACAGCCTCAGGACAGCAACACCAACTCAAGCAGACCAAACCAAATTATCAGCCTCAGAGGACAGGTAGAGACAGGGGACAGGTAGAGACAGGGGACAGGTAGAGACTCAGAGGACAGGTAGAGACAGGGGAAAGGTAGAGACTCAGAGGACAGGTAGAGACAGGGGAAAGGTAGAGACTCAGAGGACAGGTAGAGACAGTGGACAGGTAGAGACAGGGGACAGGTAGAGACTCAGAGGACAGGTAGAGACAGGGGACAGGTAGAGACTCAGAGGACAGGTAGAGACAGGGGAAAGGTAGAGACTCAGAGGACAGGTAGAGACAGGGGACAGGTAGAGACAGGGGAAAGGTAGAGACTCAGAGGACAGGTAGAGACAGGGGACAGGTAGAGACAGGGGACAGGTAGAGACTCAGAGGACAGGTAGAGACAGTGGACAGGTAGAGACAGGGGAAAGGTAGAGACTCAGAGGACAGGTACAGACAGTGGAAAGGTAGAGACTCAGAGGACAGGTAGAGACAGTGAACAGGTAGAGACAGGGGAAAGGTAGAGACTCAGAGGACAGGTAGAGACAGGGGACAGGTAGAGACTCAGAGGACAGGTAGAGACAGTGGACAGGTAGAGACGGGGAAAGGTAGAGACTCAGAGGACAGGTAGAGACAGGGGACAGGTAGAGACTCAGAGGACAGGTAGAGACAGGGGAAATGTAGAGACTCAGAGGACAGGTAGAGACAGGGGACAGGTAGAGACTCAGAGGACAGGTAGAGACAGTGGACAGGTAGAGACTCAGAGGACAGGTAGAGACAGGGGAAATGTAGAGACTCAGAGGACAGGTAGAGACAGGGGACAGGTAGAGACTCAGAGGACAGGTAGAGACAGTGGACAGGTAGAGACGGGGAAAGGTAGAGACTCAGAGGACAGGTAGAGACAGGGGACAGGTAGAGACAGGGGAAAGGTAGAGACTCAGAGGACAGGTAGAGACAGGGGACAGGTAGAGACTCAGAGGACAGGTAGAGACTCAGAGGACAGGTAGAGACTCAGAGGACAGGTAGAGAAAGTGGACAGGTAGAGACTCAGGGGACAGGTAGAGACAGGGGACAGGTAGAGACAGGGGAAAGGTAGAGACTCAGAGGACAGGTAGAGACAGGGGACAGGTAGAGACAGGGGACAGGTAGAGACTCAGAGGACAGGTAGAGACTCAGAGGACAGGTAGAGACTCAGAGGACAGGGAGAGACAGGGGACAGGTAGAGACAGGGGAAAGGTAGAGACTCAGAGGACAGGGAGAGACAGGGGACAGGTAGAGACAGGGGAAAGGTAGAGACTCAGAGGACAGGTAGAGACAGGGGACAGGTAGAGACAGGGGAAAGGTAGAGACTCAGAGGACAGGTAGAGACAGGGGACAGGTAGAGACAGGGGACAGGTAGAGACTCAGAGGACAGGTAGAGACAGTGGACAGGTAGAGACAGGGGAAAGGTAGAGACTCAGAGGACAGGTACAGACAGTGGAAAGGTAGAGACTCAGAGGACAGGTAGAGACAGTGGACAGGTAGAGACAGGGGAAAGGTAGAGACTCAGAGGAAAGGGAGAGACAGGGGACAGGTAGAGACTCAGAGGACAGGTAGAGACAGTGGACAGGTAGAGACGGGGAAAGGTAGAGACTCAGAGGACAGGTAGAGACAGGGGACAGGTAGAGACTCAGAGGACAGGTAGAGACAGGGGAAATGTAGAGACTCAGAGGACAGGTAGAGACAGGGGACAGGTAGAGACTCAGAGGACAGGTAGAGACAGTGGACAGGTAGAGACGGGGAAAGGTAGAGACTCAGAGGACAGGTAGAGACAGGGGACAGGTAGAGACAGGGGAAAGGTAGAGACTCAGAGGACAGGTAGAGACAGGGGACAGGTAGAGACTCAGAGGACAGGTAGAGACTCAGAGGACAGGTAGAGACTCAGAGGACAGGTAGAGAAAGTGGACAGGTAGAGACTCAGGGGAAAGGTAGAGACAGGGGACAGGTAGAGACAGGGGAAAGGTAGAGACTCAGAGGACAGGTAGAGACAGGGGACAGGTAGAGACAGGGGAAAGGTAGAGACTCAGAGGACAGGTAGAGACTCAGAGGACAGGTAGAGACTCAGAGGACAGGGAGAGACAGGGGACAGGTAGAGACAGGGGAAAGGTAGAGACTCAGAGGACAGGTAGAGACTCAGAGGACAGGTAGAGACAGGGGAAAGGTAGAGACTCAGAGGACAGGTAGAGACAGGGGACAGGTAGAGACAGGGGAAAGGTAGAGACTCAGAGGACAGGTAGAGACTCAGAGGACAGGTAGAGACTCAGAGGACAGGGAGAGACAGGGGACAGGTAGAGACAGGGGAAAGGTAGAGACTCAGAGGACAGGTAGAGACTCAGAGGACAGGTAGAGACTCAGAGGAAAGGGAGAGACAGGGGAAAGGTAGAGACTCAGAGGACAGGTAGAGATCAGAGGACAGGTAGAGACAGTGGACAGGTAGAGACAGGGGAAAGGTAGAGACTCAGAGGACAGGTAGAGACAGGGGACAGGTAGAGACAGGGGAAAGGTAGAGACTCAGAGGACAGGTAGAGACTCAGAGGACAGGTAGAGACAGTGGACAGGTAGAGACAGGGGAAAGGTAGAGACTCAGAGGACAGGTAGAGACAGGGGACAGGTAGAGACAGGGGAAAGGTAGAGACTCAGAGGACAGGTAGAGACTCAGAGGACAGGTAGAGACTCAGAGGACAGGGAGAGACAGGGGAAAGGTAGAGACTCAGAGGACAGGTAGAGACTCAGAGGACAGGGAGAGACAGGGGACAGGTAGAGACAGGGGAAAGGTAGAGACTCAGAGGACAGGTAGAGACAGGGGACAGGTAGAGACAGGGGAAAGGTAGAGACTCAGAGGACAGGTAGAGACTCAGAGGACAGGTAGAGACAGGGGACAGGTAGAGACAGAGCTGCACTTTCTAACCTCATGCCCTAAATATAAAACACAAAGACAAAAACACTTTGCAAACATTTTCCAAATATACCCGAATTCGAATTCATATCAGACACACAGAAACTCCCGTTTTAACTGGGAGAACAACCAGTGGAGCCTCAGACTGATAAATAATTGTACATTGTATAATTGTGATTGTTTGATATTTTAGTAATTGTTTTGTTTTTACTTTGATACTGATTTCCTTTTTTTAAAAAATTATTATTTTTTTTTTAATCAATTATTTATTTTTTATTTTTTGTCTATTAATACACACACACACACACACACGTTTACGGTATCTATTTATTTTATTTTAAGGTGTAATATATTTCATTTTTTAAAACACCACACACACACACAACACACTTACCGTTTTATTTATTATTTTTATTTTTAATGTATTTAATTTTTTTAACACAAAAACACACACACACACACACGCTTAATTACTTGTTTAATGAAATGTATGGGGTTGATTGTTCTTATGTAGTTTGTATGATGCTTTGGCATGTTGTGTTATACATTCATGCCAATAAAGCTAATTTGAATTTGAATTTGAGAGAGACCTGTAATTTTCTAATGCCCCTCCGAGACGCATTATCTCTGGATGGCACCGTCCTTTAACTCTCACATTAAACAATGAAGCGCCTTTTTGACCAACGTAACAAACTTCAGGATCGTCCCGTCTCTAATGAAAACCAGTCCAGCAGTTGATCTCTGCAGCTCCTTATTACCATCAGTCCATTAAGAGCTGATCCAGAATGCCCCCCCTGAGTCCAGGTTCTGATCGGGGTCTCTCTGCCTGCTAAAGGAGGTTTCAGCAGCGTACTGGCTGTTCTGGGGGCACCGTGGCGACACAGCGAGACCTTACCTGGCAGGACAGTCCGGCGTATCCAGGTGGACAGATGCAGGACTCGATCAGTCTGGCCACACCACCTCCAACATCTGACTCCTCCTCTAACCCCGCCCTCCACTGCTGTCTCCATGGTTATGTTAGAGATCCTTCGCAAAAAACAACGACTGTGTGTGTATATGTACACATGTATGTACAGTATGTGTACATATACATACATACATATACAGTATATGTGGAGTATGTCAGTATTAGTACCTGCTCTGCTGCAGTCTGCTCCCATACGAGGCCTTGATGATGATGTACTCGATGTTACTGATGACGGACATGAAGTCAGTGTGACTCACTGACCTCTCCGACACCGAGTTGAAATACCTCCACCGGTGCTGCAACACACACACACACACACACACACGTTAACAACCTGTAACATGTAAGCTGCTCCGCTTCCCATGAGTCCTTGCACCAATACCTCTGTCATTCTGATGTCGTGCTGTGTCCCGATGCCGTTGCTAGGGGCGACCATGTCAGTGTATATCACCAGCTTCCTTAGGGTCCCGCCCCTCATCAGGACCTGAGGCTCCTGATTGGACAGCCCCGAGCCCTCCTCAGCATAAAAGGTGACGACGTAAGACAGCAGGCCGCCGTACGACAGCAGCTACACAATGAAGTACAACACAGGGAGTCACTACACAGTCAGCTCACTCGCATTGTTAAAACAACACTCTCGGACACTACTCCCATCGTTATTTCGGCCCCGTTAAGTAATCATTGCCGTCGGACAATCAGTTTTTTCCTATCAGTGCGATGCATGATGGTATACACGGCTTGGTTAGTAACCATCGGTTGTGCACTACTTTTCAAAATGTATATAGGGTATACTAATTATCACTGTCCATTCAGACAGCACTACAAAATGGCGAGCTCACTATATAGTGAGTAGTGGGTGATTTCAGACACAGCTAAAGATGAACGTCAAGGGTTAATATTGTAAGTCAACAGTTTGGGCAACAGTACCTGGGCGCCTTCAAATTGGGGGGGCAGTCTCCAGTAGAGCGGGCCAACCAGCCCGGTGGTGTTGAGATGTCGGGTGTCGAGCAGCATGTCGCCGCCTTGCTGGTAAACACCAGATACTACACCCTGCAGGTTAGACTGACTGACCAATGGCAGGAGAGCAGCAGAGCGAGCCAGGCTGATCTGTAGAAGGAGGGGTTGGGGGGGGGGACCACAAAGTAAACAAAGTAAATGTTTACTTTGTGTTCTAGAAAAACTGGGTTCATGTACGTGGGTATACATTTATATATATATAGAAAGATGAATGTTGTATAAATGTACATATGTAGTACAGCTGTGTACTTGTACTCACAGGTACTCTGTAGAGTCCACCCTGCTCCTCACAGTCCCTGCTGAGTCCTGAACAGAAACACTGAGAGCAGCCGTCCGGACTCTCAGATGACAGAGCAAACCAACCAGAGACGCACTCCTCACAGCGGCGACCTGCCACGCCCACCTGGACACACACACACACACACACACACACAGAGCGTGATGTACAACGTGGTTTCAGAGGGTTTAGTCCTGAGACCTCCAGTCAGCTGTCTCTGAACCAGCACACTGAACCGTGGACTACAGTCCGCCCTCCCTCTGCTGCTTCTCCTGAGCTTTCTAACGGGGTTTCCTGATCTGAATCCAGGGCTTGAGGGCCCCATCTGAGTTAACACAAACACAAAAGAACAACACAGAACACCTAGAACACTAGAGAACACCAGAGAATCCAAGAGAACACCTAGAACACCTAGAACACTAGAGAACATCTAGAACACCACAGAACACCTAGAACACAAGAGAACATGTAGAACACGTAGAACACTAGAGAACACCAGAGAACACTTAGAACACAAGAGAACACCACAGGACACCTAGAACACAAGAGAACACCACAAAACACCAGAGAACACCACAGGACACCTAGAACACAAGAGAACATGTAGAACACATAGAACACTAGAGAACACCAGAGAACCCAAGAGAACACCTAGAACACCAGAGAACACCTAGAACACAAGAGAAACCACAGGACACCTAAAACACAGAGAACACCACAAAACACAGAGAACACCACAGGACACTAGAAACAAGAGAACATATAGAACACGTAGAACACTAGAGAACACCAGAGAACATCTAGAACACCACAGAACACCTAGACACAAGAGAACACCACAGGACACCTAGAACACAAGAGAACACCAGAGAAACACTAGAGAACACAGGAGAATCCAAGAGAACACCTAGAACACTAGAGAACACCTAGAACTGGCAGGTCCACCATGGTGCTCAGTGAGAGCAGGTTCACAC